CATGGTGGTACATGCCTATAGTCCCACTACTTGGGAGGCTGAGGTGGAAGGATCACTTGAGCCTAGGAGGATGAAGCTGCAGTGAGCCAAGATCGCACCACTGTACTTCAGCCTGGGTGACAGAGTGAGACCCTGTCTCAAAAAAAAAAAAGAAAAAGAAAAATGTTGGCAGTGCTTATGATTCTGTACTGAATGATGTGAACAGATTTCTTAACTTCACACAGAACAGTTTTGGTTGGGGAGGTCAAGAGAGCTCTGTTGGGAGAATTACATGTATTTGTAGGGTATCTTAAAGCCAGTTACTGTGAGTTTTGTTTTGCTTGAGGGATGATTCTTTGTAACTCCTGGGTTCTGAAAAGGAGTTATGTGATAAATTGTGATAAATACATTTTACTGTGATGCTGGAACAATCTGTGGGTGATGGTTAAGAACTCAGGTAGGACTAAATTTGAAAACATAAAATAAATGTTTTGATACTAAGAAATAAGAAGAAACTTCTTTTTTTTTTTTCCTTTGAACATGGGATAAGAAATCCTAAAATAACAAAAAAGTGGCACATGTGTCCTGGTGCAGTGGCTTACACCTGTAATCCCAGCACTTTGGGAGGCCTAGGCAGGTGGATCACGAGGTCAGGGGTTCGAGACTGGCCTGGCCAATGTGGTGAAACCCCATCTCTACTAGAAATACAAAAATTAGCTGGGTGTGGTGGTGTGCGCCTGTAGTCCCAGCTACTCAGGAGGCTGAAGCAGGAGAATGGCTTGAACCCGGGAGGCAGAGATTGCTGTGAGCCGAGGTGGCGCCACTGCACTCCAGCCTGAGCAACAGAGCAAGACTCCGTCTCAGAAAAAAAAAAAAAATGACACGTGCTTAGTAGATAAGGTTTGGTAGTTGGACAATTTGGGAAGGTTTAAAGAGGTTCCTTATAGTTTTGGCTTTAGATGCTGGTTTTGGTCTCTGTAATATGGAAGGGACATTTAACTAAAAACTTCAGGCCAGGCACCATGGCTCATGCCTGTAATCCCAGCACTTTGGGAGGCTGAAGGGGGCAGATCACTTGAGGTCAGGAGTTCAAGAGTAGCCTGGCCAACATGGCAAAACCCTGTCTCTACTAAAGATACAAAAATTAGCTGGGCGTGGTGGTTGCACGGTTGTAATCCCAGCTACTCTCGAGGTTGAGGCGGGAGAATCACTTGAACCCAGGTGGTGGAGGTTGCAGTGAGCCAAGATTGTGCCACCACACTCCAGCCTGGGCGACAGAGGGAGACTCCGTCTCAAAATAATAAGTAAATAAAATATAAAATAAAAAGTGGGAACCTGCAGATACTATATGTGGCTATAAGGTATTTTGTTACATTATGTAACTATCCATGTACATTGTGAAAGCTTGGGAAGTTACTTTAGGCCTTTCTGTTAACTAAATTACAGAAGAAAAAAAGTATCTGTTTATGTAGTTAAGACGTTGTTGTGTTCTCATTCATCAGGTAATTATTGAACATCTACCTACTTTCAGCATCTGCATGTGTGTGTGAATATTAAATATCACACCAAGACATTGTTCAGAGGAGACAGAATAGTGAGGTGAGATGAATGAGAATGTCTCTGTGGAAGATTAGACTGGAGCATGAACTTGAACTATGAGTAAGATTTGGATGGGATGGAAGTGGGTGGATGGGAATCACATTTGGAGATGATTAAATTCATAAAACTGGTAATATACAGTGCATCTTCAAGTGACAGTGAGGAGGAGACTTTTAAGGGTGGCATGATAGGTTCCTGTTTGGGTGGAGTGAAAGGTAAGGCTTTAAAGTAAATTGGGACTGTTGTATGGATGGTCATGCTATGTGGGGTTTAAATTTTTTCTTGTAAGCAAGTATTTGAGCAAGATCTTAATATGGTGTTTTACAGCTGGGCATGGTGGCGTGTGCCTGTAGTCCTAACTACTCGGGAAGCTGAGGTGGGAGGATTGCTTGAGCCTAGGAGTTTGAGACTGGCGTGGGCCAACATAGTGAGATCTCATCTCTAAAACCAAACCAAAACAGAACAAAATGGTGTTTTGGGAAAATAATTGTCTGGAATGGCTTGGAGAATCTTATTAGGACTAGAGGCAGAGAAACCAATTACGAAGATTTCATAATGATTGAAAAATGAATGAAAGGGTAGCATATTGAATATCTGCTATGTGCAATGCAGTGTGCTAGGTTTTCATATGTATTATATATTATCTTTCACAGCAGCCTTAAGAGGTTGGTGTTAATAAGCCTCTGGTTTTCAAGACACTGAATTTCAGTGAAGTTAATTTTTTTGCTCAAAGAGTCTGCTAACTTTTAGTGGGTATGCATAGATCTACTTCTTTCAAACAGGTACATGTTATATGGCAATACTGTACTTTAATTCCCTATTAATGGAAATCTGGGTTTCCATTTTTTAATTGTTTTACTAGTAATGCTACGATAAATATTCTTACACATATCTTTGTACATAGTTTCTAGTACTGTATTTCTGTGGAAGAAACTCCTAGAAGTGGAACTAAGTTCCTGGATTAAAATGGCCTTTAAAACAAATGATATAGGAGGGAGTATCCTGAATGGGTAATGGATCATGATTGTCGTGACAATTTTTAGAATCTTAGTTAAAGGTACAGTGTACTTGGTACTACATGAAAAAATAATAGAGCATATCCCTGCCAAGTATAACATAAAGCCATGAAATATTAGAATGAAAGGCCCTAAAATAATTAATTCCTTAATTTTACTGTTAAGGCTCTTGAAATCTAGAAAGTTTTTAGTGTTCCTGAAATAGACCAGGGATTAGGATCTAGATACTCAGATTTTTCGTTTACTATTCTAAGTGTAGTGTTTTCCTTTCCTAAAGTAAATTTAAGGAGAAAACAACATTTACATTTCTTTTCTTTTTTTTATTTGAGACGGAGTCTCACTTTGTCACCCAGGCTGGAGTGCAGTGGCGCAATCTCAGCTCACTGCAACTTCCGCCTCCCGGGTTCAAGTGATTCTTGTGCCTCAGCCTCCTGAGTAGCTGGGACTACAGGCATGTGCCACCATGCCCAGCTAATTTTTTTTTTTTTTTTTTTTGAGAGGAAGTCTTGATCTGTTGCCCAGGCTGGAGTGCAATGGCGTGATCTCAGCTCACTGCAACCTCTGCCTCCCAAGTTCAAGCAATTTTCTGCCTCAGCCACCTGAGTAGCTGGGATTACAGGTACCTGCCACCACGCCCAGCTAATTTTTATCTTTTTAGTAGAGATGGGGTTTCACCATCTTGGCCAGGCTGGTTTGAACTCCTGACCTCATGATCCACCCACCTCGGCCTCCCAAAGTGCTGGGATTACAGGTGTAAGCCACCACACCTGACCTTATTTTGTATTTTCAGTAGAGACGAGGTTTCACCATGTTGGCCAGGCGGGTCTTGAACTCCTGGTCTTGAGTAATCCACTTGCCTTGGCCTCCCAAATTGCTGGGATTACAGGCATGAGCCACTGCGCTCAGCCCCACATTTCTTTCCACTGTGTTTGTGTGTGTGTGTGCATGTGCGCACGCCTCACATGCTTGTAAGTGCTGTTTTCTGCCATTTTTACTTAATATTACCTCATAATGGGTTATGAAATTTTGATGGATTCCAAAAGTATTAAATGTTTAGTTACCCTTTCTTTTCCTCCGCTCCTTTCCTATTAACCAAGTAAAGTGATAAACAGGTACATTCTTATGTTTAGATGAGTTAAGATGGGAAAAGAAGATGAGATTTTTATCTTTATTTAAAAGGAAAACGCGATGAGTTACAAAAAAAAAAAAAGATTTCAGAAACAGTGATCTGGAGGATATAGTCCACCCACTTTTTTTGCTATTTGTTTTAAATTGGTAATCTAGAATTATATTTTGTTGGTAAGGTATGGTTTAATTACCCATTCCTTATTGGGCATTTTGGCTTTTTTTTCCAAATCTCAAAACATTTTAAATTTACAATTACTTGTTGCTAGTATTATAGAGGTACAATTGATTTTGGATTTGGCTTTGTATCCTGAAGGATGAAGGAAAGGGTATAATATATACCGAATATCTTGTTAAACTCCCTAATTAGCTCTAGTAGCTTTAGGATTTTCTCTACAGATGATCGTGTCTATGAAAAAAACTTTTTACTTCTCTCTTTTCAATTTTTATGCCTTTGATTTCTTTTCTTTTCTTTTCTTTTTTTTTTTTTTTTTTTTTTTTTTTTTTTTTTTTTTTTGAGACGGAGTCTGGCTCTGTCGCCCAGGCTGGAGTGCAGTGGCCGGATCTCAGCTCACTGCAAGCTCCGCCCCCCGGGTTTACGCCATTCTCCTGGCTCAGCCTCCCAAGTAGCTGGGACTACAAGCGCCCGCCGCCTCGCCCGGCTAGTTTTTTGTATTTTTTAGTAGAGACGGGGTTTCACCGTGTTCGCCAGGATGGTCTCGATCTCCTGACCTAGTGATCCGCCCGTCTCGGCCTCCCAAAGTGCTGGGATTACAGGCTTGAGCCACCGCGCCCGGCCTTTTCTTTTCTTTTCTTTCTTTTTTTTTTTTGCCTTATGGTGTTGTCTAGGCCTTCAAACCCATTTTGAATAGAAGTGGTAAGAGTGCAATGAAGTAAAAATAAATGCATAACAATGGTTTTCTTTTCCTCTGCTTTCTGAGTTTGTATAAATTGATGAATTTTCTTTTACCAATATGAAATGTCCTTTATCTCCAGTAATAATACTGTCTCAAAGTCTGCTTCATCTAAAATTTACAGCTTCTCCAGCTTTCTTATAGTGTTTTTACATACTATATTTTTTCTTTTAACATAAATTTCCTTTATAACATACTTTCACCTTTACTTTTAATGTAAATCTTTGTCTCTTAAATAGCATGTAGTTTGGTGCTGCCTTTTTTTTAAAATTTATTCTTACAGTCTCTGCTTTTTAAGTAAGGTGTTTAGTCCATTAACATTTACAGTTATTTATATGGTTAGGTTTATATTTTTATCTTGCTGTTATTTTTTTTTTCTTCCCTTTTTTGGCATTCTTTTGGATTGAGTGTTTTTTAGCCCATTAATCTTTGGTTCTTTAGCTGTATACCTTTGCATTCATTTTTTAGTGGTTCCTCTAGGGATTACAATATACACTGCTAACTTTTCATGGTGTTCCAAGAATTAATATTACAGAAATAAACGTTTATATTTGACAACTGTGAAACCAGACTTGGTAATTTTTATAGGGTCTTGTCTCCTACAAGCAAGTTTTCCTTGTTTGTCACCCCACTTAGTGAAGTTCTGAATATAATGACAAAAACTCTAGGGCAAAAATCTTGGTGACTTATTTTGAATTAAAGCTATTTCTCTTCATTCTCATCATATTTGTACCAAAATTCAACATTGCAGCCCTTGATAGCATGCAAGGGAGTTAGATAACAGGAAGCCAAAAGCTCTATTTAGATACTCTGCATATTTTCTTCAAAGTCTAGAATTTGCACATCCTTCAGAGTTGAATAACAAGAAGCAAAAAGGATCATTTACTCACTTTTATTTTGATTTAATCTGGTCCAGAGAAGGATTTCATGATCAGGTCCAGGTTGTCCTGAGAATTTTCTCAATGGACTACATAAGTCTCCTCAGTGAAGTTCTTTGGCTAGCCTTAGCCTGCTTTTCTTACAAATTAGAAATCACATGTACCTAAAGTATTTTTTTCTAGTTCTATATTTGTACTGTCAGTACTTTTTGAAATTTTTTTCTTAAAATACCTTACCAAAGTTCTGAAAGTAGTTTCTAGCCTTAGCATCATAAATTGTCAGATGCATAAGAAAACTTGATAGTCTTTTCAGTATTCAGATAGAGGGTCAACTGAATATTGGTTTCCAGTTATAACAACATAAACATCTGTTAAAACCTGTAACACCTATGAACAGTGATATGCTACATTATGGATCTCAGTGATACTCATTACTGGTTGTATAATCTTGACCAAGGCCTTTAATTACAGAGGAGAATTCAGGTAAAATGGAGATAATACCTGCAGTGCAAGTTTTTTAAATTAGGGGTAATGTACACAAATGCATAGTAGTACCTTGTACACAGTGGGTACTCAATAAATGGTTATTATATCTATGTAAAATCATAGAATGTCAGCACTAGAAAGGATGTTAGAAATTACCCAGATAGGGCTGGGTGCAGTGGCTCACGCCTGTAATCCCAGCACTTTAGGAGGCCAAGGCGGGCAGATCACTTGAGGTCAGGAGCTCGAGACCAGCCTGGCCAACATGGTAAAACCCCGTCTCTACTAAAAATACAAAAATTCACTGGGCGTGGTGGCACGCACCTGTAATTTCAGCTACTCAGGAAGATGAGGCAGGAGTATCACTTGAACCTGAGAGGTGGAGGTTGCAGCGAGCTAAGATTGTACCACAGCACTCCAGCCTGGGCAACAAAGCTAGACTCTGTCTCAAAAGGAAAATAAATTACCCAGATAATGAAACCAGTTCAGAATGGTTAAGTGACTGTTACTGCCCTCCCTCCCCTGCCACATAAGGGTGTAAGCTCTTTGAGAATAGGGATGTTTTATCTTTTATTTTGTGCTTTATAGAGCACAGTGATGGACTTTAGATACTTGCTTCATTAAGTACATTTCAGACATACTACAATGTCAGATAAATTGTTTTTATTTGATTTAAAATTATTGATAAACCTTTGAGAGTCACATAGCTCTAAGAATATACATTAGTGAAAATGTAATTTCAGGCTTGTCTAGTTATTAATAGAAATGAAGCAAGGAGTTTTAGAAATATGGATTTCTAAATTTGTATATTCAGTACTAGGAATGCTTTCAAGCAGGCATATTTAAGTTGTTTCTGTGTAGTTTTTTAGCTATGTCATCATAGTCAAATGCTACTGCATGGTGAATTCCTTCCTTTTGCCATAACTGTTTTCTTTAGTCCTCATCTGTTTGCTGCTATGCACACTTACAAACATCTCAACCAGTGGACTTACTTTTAATTTTTAAATTTCCCTTTTGAGCATTTTTACCCATTAGAAGGATTGGTACTTCATGAGTTTTATTCTTTTGTAGAGGTCTTCTAAAGAACAGAGAGGGAAAAAAAAAAAAAAGAATAGAGATAAAATTTACTTACATGTTTTTTAATAGAATAAAACTCATTTTATCTTGTAATTACCATATGGACCACTTTGTAAATCTAGGAAGCATTTGGGGATATTACTGGTCTTGTTTTACCTATATATTGAAGCATTTTGTTATTTCATCCAGGAAATTATTGTATCAGTACTCATCAAAACTGTACTTACAAAAAGGAGGCTAAAATAAAAAAAGAAAAATGTTGGAATTGGCTAGAGTAGAAGTGGACAAACTTTTTTGTGAAGGGTCAGTTAGAAAATATTGTAGGCATTGTGGGCTACATATGATCTCTGTGGCATATTATTATTCTTAAACAACCTTTAAATATTCAAAAACCATTCTTAGCTCCCATATCATACGAAATAGGTTGTGGGACCGATTTGGCCTGTGGACCTTGGTTTGTCATTGCATTAACGTACAATTTTCATATTGCATTGCCCAAAAGATTATGCCATCTTTTAAGTCATATAAAAGGAGACTGGAGACACCATCTTTATGGTCTCTTTTTAGCTTTTATTGAACAGAATGTAAATTCATACTTTTAAATATTTTGGTCATAATGGCAAAGAGAAGAAAATTGACAGAGGAAGAAGTTTCACAATTATTAGACAAATCAGAAAATGAATACAAAACGGTAAATTCTATACTGATGACGATGGTAAAGTGGATCACATAAGCAAAAATACGTACTATGAATCTTCAAATAAGATCTCATCTTCTGAGTTTTCTCAACTAAAACTTTGATGATTGAACAGTATATTTTTAAGGATCAAGAGAAAATATGAGGCCAGGTGTGGTGGCTCATGCCTGTAATTCCTGCACTTTGGGAGGCCGAGATGGGTGGATCACTTGAGGTCAGGAGTTCCAGATTGGCCTGGCCAACATGGTGAAACCCTGTCTCCACCAAAAATTTGAAAATTAGCTGGGTGTAGTAGCATAGGCCTGTAATTCCAGCTACTCGGGAGGCTGAGGCATGAGAATTGCTTGAACCTGGGAGGTGGAGGTTGCGGTGAGCCGAGATCGTCCCACTGCACTCCAGCCTGGGCGACAGAGCGAGACTCTGTCTCAAAAAAAAAAAGGAAAAAAGAAAAAAAAAGAAAAGAAAATATGGTATTCTACTCAGTCATTTAAGAGGAAGGAATTTCTCACAATATTTTGTCATAGACAAGTAGTAAAGGATGTGTTCTGCTATTCTTTTATCTCTTATATTTGTGCTCCAAAATAGACTGGATATGGTTTTATAAGTAGACAAATGCTGAAAGCAGGGGTGTGTACAAAAGTGACTGGAAGGAAATAGGTGTCAAAATGAAAAATCACTGGCTTGATTATTCTAAATAATGGTTATAAATCTAAAAATATTTTGCAAAATATAGATCAGAGGATAGCAATCCTTACTTCAACAAATTGTGAACCATTAAAAGTTTCAAAACTTCAAGCTTTCAGGTATTATATTTTGCCAATGTAGATGCCAAAAAAAGAACAAGGTATAACCATAAGCTATAACTTATTAGATACCTGACTTATAACATTTATGAAATGGATATGTTCCATAAGATGGATGTGTTCCATGTTTATCCATGATGGTTGATGGGCAGTTGTATTCACAGGACATAGCCCATTTTGGCTCTATCTTAAAAACAAGGAAAATGTGAAATGACTATCTGGATTTGCTGTATTTAAATACTTAGAAAAAAATCTAATAATGTTTTCCACTATATCCTGATTCTTCTCAACATTCTCTGTAAAATATGTGTGTGTGTGTGTAAAGTTTCCGTTAGATGCAAATAACAAATGATGATGACTGCTTTTCCTTATATACTGAGAGTAAAGAACTAGCTCCCTGTAGGATTTTTTTCCTCTGAGTTGTGTTTTGTCTTAGGCTCTTGATTTACATGGAGGAGGGATACTTTGAGAAAGAGTCTTAAAAAAATTAGCTGCTGCATTTACTGTTACAGTGTTTTAAAGAACTTGATCTAATTTACATTTGTTTTTTATATTAAGACTAGGTCATATATTTTGCTTGCTCTTCTGTTTTTGTATTATGATTTATAATTTATTATTTTTGCATTTTTGTGATAATGATATGCTTTGATAATGATATGCTTTCTGGATTTTAGCATAATTCTAGATTTTAAATAAATCAAATGGTAGAGTAAGGAGCTCCAGAAAATCCAGTCTTCCATAAAAGCAACAACAACACTGTCAGAAGATCACAGCTCACTGTAGCCTCAATCTCCTAGGCCTAAGCGATCCTCCCACCTCAGCCTCCCTAGTAGCTAGGACCACAAGCATGCAGCACCTCGCCTGGCTACTTTTTAAAATTTTTGTAGACATGGGGTCTCCCCATGTTGCCCAGGCTATTCTCAAACTTCTGGGCTCAAGCGATCCTCCTGCCTCAGCCTCTGAAAGTATTGGGATTACAGGATATGAGCAACTCTGTCTGACCCAGAGTCAACTTTTTTGGAACTCTGGTAACTCATCAAAAGTTTGTAGCAATCAGGGGAACGCTTAAGAAAACACACTGAATCTCAGTAAGAACAGTGAGCTTTGTGGCATTTGCCTACCCTGGTCCCATCTGCTTCTCAGCTCAGTGGTAGCCTTGAAAATAACAGTCTCCATTCCTGGTACTGATACAGGGAGCGGGATAGACCTAATTCAGAAAGAATTGTAATTAACTTGTTCTTCTATCTGGTGGCTTGCTAGAAGGCTGTTTTTTAAAAAAGAGGTCTGCCTTTATGTCACCTAACTTGGAACTCTTTTGATGGAAAAGTAACTACCTTGGGGGTGTTTGTTAAAAGTATTTACAGACATATGTTTAGTTACTGTTGCCTGAGGCAAAGGAAAACAGTTGGAGCAAACCAAAACTAATCAGAAAGGTTGGGAATGAGATGCTTTGGGGAATAAGGGCTTTGAAATTCTCTGACATATTCTTGGGAATCTTGAAGGGTACATGCATGCCCAGAGCTTTGTACATGCTCAGGAAAGACCCGAGAAGACCCAGAGCTCTCTCTCTGGCTCACTTTAAGTCTCTGCACAAGCAGGAAGTGAAGACTAAGGTGGAGTTATAAACTGCCTGGCTGAATATTGAAGGCATGTCCCAACACGCAGAGCCCATGTGCAAAGACTGGCAGAATTTTTTGGTTGCAGAGGTTTAAGGAAATTTCTTTCTAATCACCAGCAGACTACTAACTAATGGAACAGAGAGTTCACTGGCCACACATGACAAAGAAACAGACTTTACAAAATTAGTTCAGATAAGTCATTAAATAAGGAAACAACTACAACAAACAGCAACAACAAATCCCTAGAAGGGGGAAACATCTGATTTATAGAGTTGTCACACTGTAATATTCGAAATGGCCAGTTTTCTACAAAAAATAATGAAACATATAAATAAACAAATTAAGGCTCTTATACAGAAGAAACGAACAAAAACTGCCCCCAAGGAAGCACAAAGACTTTAAGTAAGCTGTCATTATTAATGCTCAAATTGCTAAAGGAAACCAGGAGAATGATACACCATCAAATAGAGAATATCAATATAGAAATTATAAAAAGGAACTAAACAGAGTTTATAGCTGAAAAGTACAGTAACTGAAAGGTTCACTAAAGGTTTAGATAGCAGAATTGAGTAGACAGAAGAATCAGTGATTCTGAAGGTAAATTAATTGAAATATCCAATTTGAAGAGCAGACCCTTAGAGACCTGTGAGACACTGTCAAGTGCACCAACATGCACACCAACACAGTGTAATGAGAGTAACATAAGGAAAGGCGAGAGAGCTGGAAAGAGCATTTGCTATGGTGTGAATGTTTGTGTCTTTTTATATGATGTCTTTTAAATTTATATGATGAAATCCTAACCCCCAAGGTATTGGGAGATAGGGACCTGGGTGGTGACTGGGTCATGGGAGTAGAGCTCTCATGAATGGGATTAGCACTCTTAGAGTAGTAAGATCACTTGCCCTTCTACCATGTGAGAACACAGTGAGAAGGCACTCTCTGAATCAGAAAATGGGCCTTCACCAGATAGCAAGTCTGTTGGTTCCTTGATCTTGGACTTCCCAACCTCCAGAACTGTGAGAAATAAATTTCTGTTGTTTATAAGCTACCCAGTTTATGGTGTTTTGTTATCGCAGTCTGAAGAGACTAAAACTATTTAAATAAATAATGCTCAGAAACTTCTCACATTTGAGGAAAAACATTAACCACATTTAAGAAGCTCAAGAAACTCCAAGTAGGATAAACTATACCAAGACACATGATAATCAAATTGTCAAAAGGCAAAGAGAGAATGTTGAAAGCATCAAGAGAAGTAACTCATCACATACAAGGATCCTTGATAAGATTAATAGCTGATTTCTCATCAGAGACTCCATAGTCTTCTAGAGGGTAGTAGATTGGCATATTCAGAGTTCTGAAAGGAAAAAAAAAAAGCCATCAACCAGGAATTTTATATTCAGCAAAACTGTCTTTAGAGATGAATGAGAAATACTTTCCCAGATAAACAAAAACTAAGTTATTGCTGGCAGACCTGCTCTATAAGAAATGCTAAAGGGAGGCTTCTCTATCTAATTATTTATTTTTTCCTACACTCTGTTACTGTCTGTGTCTAGCTGCAGTAGTTTTAATACATTTTAGAATGACAGCTATTTTTCTGGTGGGAAACTTTTAGTTCTTTTATTCTTTGTTAATATGCTAAAAACTAGCCTTTTCCATTTATCTAAAAAGAGACAAACTTGGACATAAGAAAACTTTTTCATGTATATAAATCAGAGGTTCTTTACAGATTTACAAAGGAAATTGTGTGACTACAAGTTAAATTTGAAATGTGTGGTATATGTTAATTTCTTGCAGGAGAAGGAAGCCAACATCCTTTTGGAGCCATGAATATTGTCCGAACTCCATCTGTTGCTCAGATTGGAATTTCAGTGGAATTATTGGACAGTATGGCTCAGCAGACTCCCGTAGGTAATGCTGCTGTATCCTCAGTTGACTCATTCACTCAGGTAATGCAACACGCATTTCATTCTTTATCTCCCCCCTCCACCGCTTTATTAAGGTATAATATACAAGTTAAAATCATATATAACGTATGGTATACAATACGTTTTTGATACATGTTTACATTTTGTTTTGTTTTGTTTTTGAGAGATGGAGTCTTGCTCTGTTGCCCAGGCTGGAGTGCAGTGGTGCCATCTCGGCTGACTGCCATCTCCGCCTCCTGGGTTCAAGCGATTCTCCCGCCTCAGTCTCCTGAGTAGCGGGGACTACAGGCACATGCCACCACACCTGGCTAAGTTTTGTATTTTTTTTTTTAGTAGAGACAGGGTATTGCCATGTTGGCCAGGCTGGTCTTGAACTCCAGACCTCAGGTGATCTGCCTGCCTTGGCCTCCCAAAGTGCTGGGAATACAGGTGTGAGCCACTCCACCTGGCCTGTATTTTGAAATAAAATCAAGCTACTTAACATGTCTGTCACCTCACACAGTCATTTTTTTGTAGAGAACACTTAAGATCTAATCTCTTAGCAAATTAAAAGTATACAATACATTATTAGTAACTGTACTCTCCATGCTGTACAATAAACTTTCAGAATTTATTCATCCTGTTGAACTGAAACTTTGTGCCCTTTGACCAACATGTCCTCATTTTCCTTTCCCCTCCACTTTCAACCCCTGGCAACCACCATTCTACTGTCTACTTCTGTAAGTTCAACTTTTAGATTCCACATATAAGTGAGATCAATCATGCTATTTGTCTTTCTGTTCCTGACTTACTAGCCTATTGTCGAGAGGAAAAACTGATGATGTAGGAGAGCAGGGAGAACTACTAAAGCAGTGTCTTTGAGTAGAAAATAGCAGCATATATGGAGGTGTTCACTTTAGACAGTATAACGGATATATGGGTACAGATTCAGATATGGTAGATGTGGTGATGAGAACTTGTGCAGGCTGTCTCCTGATTTCTTCTTCTTTCTTAGTGAAGTAGAAAGGAAGATCATCAGCTAAGATTGAGGTAGTAGAAATTGAAATTAAAAAAGACTGTTAAATAAGTCTTCTAGCAGAGGAGGAGTGAATGGATTAGGGAAACCATATGTGTTTGCCTGGCAGTACCAGAGGAGCACTTTTGAAGGTTGTGGTCGTGAATTTAAAGGTAGATTTGTCACATCTTTGAAAATGGACTAAATTGAGAATGACAGACTCTGGGTCTCAAAAATGTTTTTTTCCCCATAATTTTACAAATAAATTGCTGTGCTGAAAAGAAAATATAAAATAATCATAGTATCCTGTGTAGACAATATTTAAAAAGTGTCTGGAAAATACACATTAAAATGTTATCCCTGGAGAAGGGTAAGAAGACTTTTTTATTGTACATGTTTATAAATTATTTGAGTTTTTTAAATAAAACTATAGTTTTAATTAAATGTATTATGAAGTATTTTAAATACAGAGAAAACAGAGTAACGTATGTATTCCACAAATAGTTATTATGTAACTACTCTGTGCCAGGCATGCCTTTTTTTTTTTTTTTGAGACAGAGTCTCACTCTGTCACCCACCCAGGCTGGAGTGCAGTGGTGCGATCTTGGCTCATTGCAAGCTCCGCCTCCCGGGTTCACGCCATTCTTCTGCCTCAGCCTCCCGAGATAGCTGGGACTACAGGTGCCGGCCACCATGCCTGGCTAATTTTTTTTGTATTTTTCAGTAGAGATGGGGTTTCACTGTGTTAGCCAGGATGGTCTCGATCTCCTGACCTTGTGAGCCACCCGCCTTGGCCTCCCAAAGTGCTGGGATTACAGACGTGAGCCACCGCGCCCGGTCTGTACCAGGCATTTCTAAGCACGCATAGATACAGATAGGTCCACAAAATAGAGTAATACCTGTCTTTATAGAGCTCTCTTTATAATGGGGTATACATTAAGACTTCCATTGTCTTCCCCCTGGATTTAACTGTTATATTTTTGTCTTATTTGCCACTAATTTTTAAAAAAGAAATTAAGACGTTATAGGTATAGCCCACTGCTGCCTGCTTCTCTTCCTTTTACCTTCTAACATTTTATATCTTTCCTATTCATATTTTAGTACTTAAAACATTCCTGTGTATCCACAAACTATATATAGTACTATCTGTATGTGTTTAAACATGTTTCTAATTTAATTACTTAGTTACTCCAAATTTTTAGGAGTATTGCATGTATTTGGTTTAAATAGTCAAATAGTTTTTGTTTTTGTTTTAATTTAAGTTTTAGGGTACATGTGCACAACGTGCAGGTTTGTTACATAGGTATACATGTCCCATGTTGGTTTGCTGCACCCGTTAACTCGTCATTTACATTAGGCATTTCTCCTAATGCTATATCCCTCCCCTTGCCCCCTACCCCACGACAAGCCCCCCACCGCATGTGTGATGTTCTCTGCCCTGTTTCCAAGTGTTCTCATTGTTCAATTCCCACCTATGAGTGAGAACATGTGGAGTTTGGTTTTCTGTCCTTTTGATAGTTTGCTCAGAATGATGGTTTCCAGCTTCATCCAAGTCCCTGCAAAGGACATGAACTCATCCTTTTTCATGGCTGCGTAGTATTCCATGGTGTGTATGTGCCACATTTTCTTAATCCAGTCTATCATTGATGGACATTTGGGTTTGTTCCAAGTCTTTGCTATTATGAATAGTGCCACATTAAACATACGTGTGCACATGTCTTTATAGTAGCACGATTTATAATCCTTTGGGTATATACCCAGTAATGGGATGGCTGGGTCAAATGGTATTTCTAGTTCTAGATCCTTGAGGAATCGCCACACTGTCCTCCACAATGGTTGAACTAGTTTATACGCCCACCAACAGTGTAAAAACATTCCTATTTCTCCACATCCTCTCTAGCACCTGTTGTTTCCTGACTTTTTAATGATCACCATTCTGACTGGTGTGAGATGGTATCTCATTGTGGTTTTGATTTGCATTTCTCTGATGACCAGTGATGATGAACATTTTTCCCTGCATCTGTTGGCTGCATAAATGTCTTCTTTTGAGAATTGTCTGTTCATAGCCTTTTTGATGGGGTTGTTTGATTTTTTTCTTGTAAATTTGCTTAAGTTCTATGTAGATTCTGGATATTAGTCAAATGGTTTTTTTGAGACGGAGTTTCACTCTGTTGCCTAGGCTGTAGTGCAATGGTGCGATCTCGGCTCCTGCAACCTCCGTCTTCTGGGTTCAAGTGATTCTCCTGTCTCAGCCTCCCAAATAGCTGGGATTACAGGCGTGTGCCACCAGGCCTGGCTAATTTTTGTATTTTTAGTAGAGATGGGGTTTCACCATGTTGGTCAGGCTGGTCTCAACTCCTGACCTCTTGATCCACCCACCTTGGCCTCCCAAAGTGTTGGGATTGCAGGCGTGAGCCACTGCACCCGGCCTCAAATAGTTTTATATGTGAAATAGCTGTCCTCTGTTATGACTCTTACATTCTGCTTCTTTAGAAGCTATGATCTTCAACTCCCCTCCCTTTTTTAACCTATTTTTCCTAGTGTCTGTTATTTCCATGTATCAGAAAAAACCTTGCTTAATCTATTAGTTTTTCTGTTCTAGATGTTTTCTATTTATTTACTAATATAAGACATGATGAAACTCTCACTTCCCCGCTTCCCAACATGTACACACTTCTTTTCTCCCCACCTTGTCAGTATACATTTTTGTTAAATCAGTATTAAAAGTTTACAATATTATGAGAAATTAAATATTTTTCAGAACTGAGCTATGTGTAGTACAATGATTAAATTTCTTGTATAACTTTTAATTTTTCCTCATTTTTCATTTTCCTCTTTTTTTTCCTTTGCATAGATTTCTATGTTTCCACTTCTAATTTATGCTCAAACTCTACTAAGTGTAAATTCACATTCAGTTTATTATTTAAACATAGCAGTTTCAGATTGGTCTTGGAAACATTCCACTTGGAATTCTTTTTTTTTTTTTTTTTTTGAGACAAGGTCTCGCTCTGTCGACTAGGCTGGAATGCAGTGGTGTGATCACAGCTCACTCACTGCAGCCTCAAACTCCTGGGTTCAAGCAATCTTCCCACGAGTAGCTGGGACTACAGGCAGGAATCACCAAACCCACAGTTAATTTTTTGTAGAGATGGGGCCTCATTATGTTGCCCAGGCTGTCCTTTCTTTTTTGTTCTACTGTTGACTGACTATTCTCTGGACCTGTCGAATAGCCTTAGACAAGGTATTATTTCCTTTCAGCATTACTACAGAAATTCTTTTTGTTTCTCTTTTGTGTTGAATCCTTTGTTTTCTGGTTCCTCTGTTTTTCCTTCTTGTTGATTTGTTCTTTTGTTTGTTTTAAAAATGAATATAAATAGTATTATTGTGTACAACTTGCTGTTGTTCACTCAACATTATTTTAAAGATTTATCTATG